AACAGAGGTGGGAAAATGATCCGCAGGAAAGGACACCAAACATGCTCTAACGTGCATGATGCAATGAGCCTGTGTGCACACATCTGTGCTCTGCTCTATTGCAATACCCAGAATCATTGGGTCCAAGAGTGTTGTTTCTATTTTAATATGAAAGGCCACAAAATCTGACTGCAAATGCTTCGCTATTAAGCCAGGTGCTTGTGATCACACAGCTGCTCCCTAATTCCCCCATCAGCCCTAGAGACCTCAAAGGACTGCAGTAAGCAAAGGAAATCAACCACTGGCATGTCTTCCTGTTTAAACCAAGGACTATCAAAGGAAAGCCATCTATAGAAACACAGGCGACAACAATAAAAACAACTTCTTGGCTTTGTGGCCTTGGACAAGTGACTTACCCTCTCTAAACTCCATTATCCTGATTTTACAGATGAGGAGCTCTTCAGGGCATCCTTCCGGGTTGGGGATTAAACATGAGGGATGCATGTAAATGCTTGACACAGGGTAAGTGAGTAAAGCATGTTAGCTGGTATATCCACCCTCTCTTTTAACGGCAAGCCTTTGCCAGATGGAGGACATAAAAATTCTAAGCAATGACTCCTACCTTGGCTTTGTCCACTTAATTACCTTTATTTTCTGAACAATTGTGTGACCAGGTTTGAAAAGAGGGAATTTTTTTTAAAAAACCATGCAACGTGACAGAGGCTGGAATCTTTCTCCTTTATTTGACTGCTCAGGTAAGTCAAAGAACTTTTTAATTGGATCGTTTATTCCTCCGGGCTTGGAAGACAGTGCCCAGGAGCTAGCCTACTGAAGGGGCAGCTGGACTCTGATGGGTGGGGTATGAAAACAAAAGAAAGTGTATTTTGATGAAGCGAATAGGTTGGACTTAGTCCTATTATCTTTGGAGATCAGCAAATACACTGCACCAAATTCTACAGCTCAAGAAAATCTCTGGGTTACTAATGCAGGTTTGCAAATATAGCAACTATAATGAAATGGCTACTTTTAAACGATTTCCTATAATGGTGCTTATATATGGAAGCTTTTTTCCCTGTTGAAGAAATTTAATTGGAAAATGGCAAAGGAATAAGAAGAGGCAGACGGCCAGTTCCACTGAACAAACACACGACTACGCTGTGTGAGCAGCTTTCATAAACTCCTCCTTGTTGTGCCCAAGTGTTTGTCCTCCTGGGGGATCTGGCAGAGCTACCCCTGCCTGGTGCACCCTCCTCCTCACGGGCTCCGACCCCACTCAGTCCCCGGATTCCTGCTCGGCTGTGACCTCTGGGAAGCATTCTTCCACGCTCCTCCCCGAGGTTATCACCAGGGCCACTGCAGGCCTGCTATGGAGTCTTAACTGCACTGTGAGGTCTTCCCTGTGGACCTGTCTGCATCCTCCAAAGAACTGTGAGCTTTGGGATGGGGTTCATTCACTGTTGCTCAAGTATGTGAGTATCTCCTATGTGCAGGCACTGCTATGCTGATCAATTAGGCAGGTGAAGTCCCTGCCCGCGTGGAGCCTGCACTCTGGCATGACAGCCAGATAAAGCTTGACAACACACAAGAAAGAGAGTATAAACACAATCCATCCTCAGGGAGTGCTCCATGCTATGAAAGAAAATGAAGCAGGGAAAGGGAGGCGAGTGGCTGCAGAAGAGTGAGGGATGAGGCATGACTCTAGAGGGGAGGGTGGGGGTCCTTTGCAGAGACAGCTGCTGAGGAAGGAGGGCTCCAGGCGGAAGGAACAGCCAGCACAGAGCCCTGGGCAGGAGAAGCAGCTCAGTCTGGAGGAACAGGAAGCCAGGAGGCCAGAGTGGCTAGAGCCGGAAGAAAAACAGAACAAGTGGCCAAGGAGGAGGCCAGAAGCAGGGAACACCCTGTTGGCTGCGTGCTGGGAATCTACAAGTAACTCTAGGCTTGAAGCATTGGAGGGTGGGAGCAAAGTGACCTGACAGCAGATTCTGTCTTTTATCCCCAGTACCTAGCACAGCCCCAAGTGAGTCTGCTGACTAAATGAGAAAAAAAGCTTCTATGTGTGGACAGAGAACACGTGTCAGCACTGGGCAGGGAAGGTCACTCCCCTCCAGGAACTCAGTCTTTTCAGGAAAGAGGCTACCACCAGTTATAACTAACTCATGCGTTTTTAAGTGAGGGACAGAATGAAAAGAATAGTCTAGGAAAATGAGGATGCCCGTGGCGCCGACAGGCGGACGCTGGCTTCTGTGTGAGGACCAGTGCTACAGATACCACCTCATGTCAGGAGGTCCAAGAAGTCCCACAGGAAAGACATCCATGTAAGTGGGTTTATCCCTGCACTTCCCAAATGTATTTAATTATGGAACTTTGTTGGAGTGCAGGTCACTTATTAATTCCATAAAATACAATTTGAGAGAAGTGAATAGAGGGATCACTATAGGGTTGACACTCTACAATGATTAGCAATTTCCAGGCTGTTTAAATCTGTCTGGCTGCCTAAGGCGGAAGACAGAGTCCTGAAGCTTGGGGCTGCCAGGGTTAGAGATTTATGATGCCTGTATGAAGTCAGGATGTGAGTATGAACTTAGCATGCTGGTATGAACTTGGCACATGCATGGTCTGGTTGCAGGGAGTTGTGTGTATTGTAACATAAAGCCCAGAGTCTCAGTTCGGTTTCACTGGGGGAATTGTCTTCACTCCTCATGATACTTCTGCCTGGTTTAAGCTGCTACCAACATACAGCTGTCAATGGCTTCGATGCATTTTATTTGGCCTTAGATGCAATCCAGACTACTGATCGCTCCTTCCTTATTAGAGCCTCTTCTGCCGCACTGGCTTCCAGAATACCACTCTCCTCATTTTATTCCTTCATCTTTGGCTGGCTGACTGGTGGATTGGTTGATTACCTCATTCATTCATTCCCACTACTATCTTTAAACACATTATGTGCCAGGCCCTGTGATAATCTCTGAAGATATACTAGGAGATGAAACAAACATGCTTCTGCCTAGTGGAATTTAGTGGGAGAGTCAGTCAAGCAAATAAATACTATTATGTAATTTAAAATGTCAATGTGATAGTAAGATACAAATGGGGCAATGACAGAGTCAACAATTATCACGTGCAAACACCCTGATGTCTCCCAGCTGCTTTTCTTCAGCCCAGGTCTCTCCTCTTGGTTTTTTTTATCTGAATACCTACTGCCTTCTGAAGTATCTCTGCTCAAATACTTCAAGACACTATAAACCCATGGACAAACAGAACACACGATCTCCACCTATCATATAGTTCCTGCCCCAAGCAAAACAAAACTCAAAGCAAAACCACGGGGTCCTATTTCCTATGTGCCCTATTGGTGAGTGGCCCTGTTGTCCATCTATTGTGCAAATAAACTCTTATGGGGCATACACACCCTTCCACCTTCAATCGCTTTCCAATCCTTCAGCAAATCTTGCCAATTTTACGTCTTTATTAAATCTCAGCTGCCACCACCCTAATCTGAGCAACAATTTTGCCCATCTGGACTTCTGCAACAGTTTCCAAGCTAGCCTCCCCAACTCATTCTTCATCTATGGATTCTTTCTCCACACTACAGAGTGATTGATTCAAAACGCAAATCTGATGATCTTATTCTCTTCCCCCACTATTAAAAAATCTTTCAGTAGCTTCTTGTGGATCTTTGGGTAAAGACCAAACATGGTCTCTAGCATGGCCTGTAAGACTCTGCATGGCCTAGCTCCTGCCTACCTCTCCAGCTCCCCTCCTGTACCTCTGTGTCCTCCATCCATGATGATCTTCAGTCACCTCCTTAAATGCATTCCTCTCCCTCACTGGATGCTATTCTCTTCCTTGACCTGCCTAATTCCTAGTGATCCTCCAGATCCTTCCTTCCTTCCTAGAGGAAGCCTTCTTGTAACCCTAGACTGAATCAAATTTCTTTGGATACACTCTCATACTACGGTGTTCCATAATGTTGTAGCACTTATAGGATTTTAATTAAACTCAAATATGTAATATTTGATTAAAATCCCTCTCCCTAACAAAATTTTAACTTCTAAGAAAAACTCATTATAAAACTCAAGAAAACTGACTATATGCACTCTTCTTTCTCCTGGTTCTTCTTCCCTCTCTCCCATACATGTAAACATGTCTGTCCTGAGATATGCTGCTCCTCCCTCTTTTGACTCCACACCCTTCGAACCACAGGGATCACCTTAGCCCAGATAACTTCAAAGCCTCTTCCCTAAACCTCAATCTCTTTCCAAATATCCAGGTAGGCAAGACCAGTGGTTTTGTAACATTTTGACTGCAACCCAGTTAGAACATTCATTTGGCAACTTACTGCCTACAAACATGCAAGAAACAAATTTCATGAAACAATACTGTCACTTGCTTTCCTATTAGCTTTCATTTAAAAATACTTTTTCATATAATTTCAAGACCCAATAGGTCACACCCTACAGTTTAAAATACATCGTACCAGATGTTTACATATGGATATTTCTCTACAACCTCAAACATAATATGACTATTTCCCAATTCATTTCTCAACAAAACTTCCTTACTAAGGAATATATGATCCTTCTCTTAGTCACTGAGGAACAACACATTGGAGTCATTTTGGACTCCTCCTTCTTACCCAACCCAAGTAGTTGTTAAACCCTCTTGGGGTTCTTCCACTGCAATGTGTTGGCCCCCATCCCATCCCTTCCATTCCCACCATCATAGTTCAGATATTACTGTAATTTGGAATGCTGTAATAGCCTTTTAAACTGCTTCCCTACTTCCAGAATTTTCAAATAGAAGTGACTTATGTTTGAATCACAATTGTATCAGAGCAGAAAGCTTCAGTTCCATTTTGACCAACAAAGTAATGTGTAAGGGACTGAAATACATGTGACTTCATCCACTCAGTAAACTCCTTGAAAAATTAAATTTTAATTCAGGCTGCCTCACATTTCTAAAATTTCTATTACAATCCAGAAACCAAACTCTGGGTTGGTGGTAACGGCAGGCAGACTCACCCATGTCAGCAGTGACCATGGTAGACTGGTTTTCGGGGATAGAGACAGAGGTCTGGTCTTGGTCCATGCTTCGAGAGTCCTCGTTGACCTCGTGTTGGCTCTGGCTGAGTTCTGATCGCAGTTCTGAGTACTCATCTTCCTCCCTGAGAAAAAAGGAGAGTTGGCCACCACTGACAGAGGATTTAAGACAACCCCTAGAGAATATGTCTTTTAAGGACAGGAAAAAGACATTCAGAGAGAAAATAGATTTCTCCCCCAGGCCACATGGACCAGGATTCCTCCCAGCCCAAATAGATGGTCATACCTATGGTCAGCGAGTGAAGCTGAAAGGTTGCTTCTGTGTCCACATAACATACCCATGTACCGAACGAGATTCATCTATCAGCCTGCAGAAACTCTTCCCCTCTAAAGATTCCTGAAGAAACGAGATTTCTTCACCTCCTCAAATTCCGAGGGGAAAAAGAACTAAGACTGCTAGCACTGAGGCTACTGTTGAACCAAATAACTAAGAGTCTAGCACACAGCAACGGCATGCCCTACCATGTGGAGGGCCCACAGGAGCTTCCTTCTTGAAGGAGGCTGGAGGTTGGAGATGGGGTTGGAGCTACTGAGAAACCAGCACCTCATCTGTGCAGATCAAACTAGACGTTTTGGAAAGATATATGGATCAGCATGCCCAAGAAAGACGAGGCTAACTTCCCAAAGAAAGGAGGTAGAATTAGGGGGTGGGAAGAGAGGATGCAATGAGGAGAAAACGGAACACTGAATGAAAGAACGCCACTCAGTGGCCTATTTCCTTTAATTTGCACTTGCTAACAAGAAGACAACATTTAAACCCCACTGTGTTTTATTTGTATACACACATCTACCTATTCTCAGCCCTTCAGGGTTCGCTCAACCTCTGGTCTCTTCATTGTACTATTAGCAAGCTGAGAAACTTAAAATTGCAGTATGTATTTCAGAGCACGTGCAGTGTCCCCTTCCCACACTACCACCACCACACATACACTGGACATAGGGATGGAGACAGCAAAATGAACCCTCTTTGAAGGATCTATTTTGTAAGTAAACGAGTAGGGGAAACTGTCAGGGGATTTAACTGGGAGTGGAATGCCCACTTAGGTCTGCTCAGCCTCAAGGGCAGGTTGTCTGTGAAGAAAGCTAGGAATTGGAGAAATCTCAGCTTGGCATTCATTTTAAGTTGTCAACAACCAGAGAAGAAAGTCTACAGTGTTGGATTGTGGGTGGACCAAGATGATGAGTGGTGATCTTTAGAGTTTAGGGAGGCAAGCGGGAGACACATCTATAAATCAGAGAAAGGTGAAGAACAGAAATCTTGGTTCTCTCAAGATATCAAATTTCTCCCAGGAAAGGGATTCAGTTGAGCCTGTGTTTTATAAGGTATTGTTAATAAAAGCTACCCAGAAATCTGGAAAAGCTTTATGTAGATATAAAGCCCCACGACATGCAAAATATGAATTAGAGAGTGGTGAAGACAAAAAAAAAAAATACAAACTAACGTTCTATGAATAAGTTAATTATTAGACATCTGCAAGCAAAAGTCAACAATAATTAGGTTTAGGAAAGAAAACGATTAAAAAGTACTCTTAAGTGCCTTTTTGGTCTATGGGACGATTGTGCACTGATAGATACATTAGCTCTCCTTTCAGTCAGCACTTAAAATTCAGATTTTAGTTAAGGGGAGATTTTGTGTATGATGAATAAATTACCTTGCTTGCATGGCCAACGTAATCAGCTTTGGCTCAGCTGAGACTTTTTTGCAGCCAAGAAAGCAAGTGATAAATGCTACTGCTGTTTCTTTGGTATAAATGGCATTTGTAAAATCTTTAATAGCCACCTTAAACCCTCCTGGCTTGCCAGATTCGAAAGTATACAGTTCCTGCCAAATCTCCTGCTTTGTACAGAATTACTTCTAGAGATTACTAGGATGAACTTTATAAAGGAGTGAATTGAGAAGGTGTGGGAAAGGGAAGCTGTTATTGTAGAAACATTCCCTACTGAGGTCAGAGCACAGTCTGAAGGAGAACCGTATTACATTAGGCAGTAGGTTTTCTGTGTCACAACATGCAAACTAAAAATTCCCATTCAATGTATTTGAGCACCAAAACAAAGACAGGACCACAAACACTGCACAGATTCTGTCTTCAAGGAGACAAAGATGTTCACAACCCAAGAAGGATGCTGTGGGTGAACACAGGTGGAATATCTGGGGCTGCCAGTGGGGAGTGACCAGAGAAGACCTCCTGGGTGGAGAAGCACTCAAGATGAGTCTCAAGGCAAGTAGATTTCAGTCAGGTCACATGTGTGGAATAGCCACAGGCAAAGGCTCAGAGGAGCTGCAAATGTGCAGAACTTGGAGGGGAACAAGCGGTTCACTATAGCTGAAACCAAAATATGGCACAGGATGGAAACATGAGGATGGAGAGGCACTCAGACTACTTGTTGACTGGGCAGTTTGAGCAAAAGGAAAACATATTGCACCAGATGATGCAAATAATCAGGGTTAGATGGAAGAAATAAAAATACAATGTGGAAAGTCTAGGAATTCAGGGGAAGGAATAAATGTTGCCAAGATCTTGTGTGGAAACAGATAAAATGAGAAGAGGAGAAATGCATTCCAGCTATGGTAATCATTGTAAGTATTCTAGAACTAAAACAACACATGCCAACAAAGTAATAGTCATTAGAGGTGGAAAGCTACCTTGTGAGAACAGGGAAGATCTTGTGCCACAAAGAATGAGGTATAAAAAGGTTAAACTGAGCTTAAATATTACAAAGTTCATGCAGCCCCGTTGGGTCTCCCACTGACTTTCGTAAAAAATCATGGAGCTGCATATCCTTATCTCTCATTGGCATCATTCCTGAAAGGAGGCTGGAACCTGGGACCGGGAAATGACAAATTGTAAACTAACTCAATTTGTGATTGCAGTACACGTGGCACACTGATGACCGGGGGTCTTCTCTACCATTCAGGAGCACTGTTCCATCAAGAGCAAAGGCGTAAGTAAACACACTAAGAGTCCCTGTCAGTTTTGCAAAGACGAGGTTTTGAGTTGTGCTTCTGCAGTGGCTCTGCACAGCCTTGAGGATGCCTGGTGAGGCTGTGTGGCTAATGACACAGCACAACAGCATCTGAAGATGACTTCTGTTTGTTGTGTGTACAGGCATTCTTCTCAAGCAATAACTTATTTCTTTGGGGAAAAAAATGCCTCCCCAAAAAAACACCAACTGCTAATGCTGGTGATAAAAAGAGGAAAATGTAAAAACACGGAAAAAAAAGTGGCCATTTGAAACCAGAAAAATAGCAGCTCTGATAAAATGATAAATGTTGAAAGTGACACTCTGTAGTGGTAGGTTTATAATCATGGAATGACAAAGTTCTCAGGTGTCTCTCCTTGGAACATAAAGGGTCAACTCACAGGATTCCAAATGCATATTCTTTCATTCACTTAGAAGTGTCTGGGAAGTGCTTCCAAGCTGCTTTAAGAGATGCAACGATTAATGCTTGCTCCTAGTTTAAACAACATAACAAATGCTCCTAAGGAGGCAGGCATTAGATTGTACACTTGCCTATGTAATGACCAGCAGTGGCAGAAAAGTCACAGGCTGGCAGACTGGGAGGGATTTTAAAGACTGTTTTAGCCAGGACCACTACCTTTATTTTACAAACAAGACAAATGGGGCTTCGAGAGGCAACTTACCTAAGATTATGCAACTACTAGCACAGCCTAATTCCTAAATTTCACACCAATGAGATAATATGTAGTTGACTCTTGAACAACATGGATTTGAGCTGCATTAATCCATTTATACGCAAATTTTCTTTCAATAAATGTATTTGAAAATTTTTTGGAAATTTGTGACAACTTGAAAAAACCTCAGATGAATCGTGTAGCCTAGAAATACAAAAAAAATTTTTAAGATATGTCATAAATACATGAAATATATACATTAGGTTGATGCAAAAGTAATTGCGGTTTTGCTTTTGAAAGTAATGGAAAAAACCGCAACTGCTTTCACACAACCTAATAGATACTAGTCTATGTGTTCCTGACTGCTTAATGGTAAATCGTAAGGCTTCCAAAGTCAACCAGTATGACTTTTGTATTATTTAAAATAACTTTAAGTCAGGGGTACCATGTACAACAACAATCGCCAGCGTTGTACATATGTATCACATGGTGCCACTGGTGGTGCGTGCTGCACCCCAGTAACTCATCATTTTACACTTAGGAGTACTCTCTCCTAAGCACCTCCTCCTCCCCAAATAGACCAGGTGTGATTACCTCTCCTGTGTCCAAGGATCCGTCATGTTCAATCCCCACCCTAACTGAGTGAGAACCATGGGTATTTGGTTTTCCTGTCTTGGCGATAGTCTTGCTAGCAATATGTTCCAGCTGCCATCCAGGTCCCTGCCAAAGGAACACAGAACTATCTTTTTAATCGGCTGCCATAGTAAATTCCATGGGTAGATGTGCCCACCATTTCTAACCCAGTCTGCTCACTGCCGATGGACATTTTTTTCTGGCGCTTGACAATCCTTTGCCTACTTGTTGTGAATACGTGCCACCAATATAAAATAGCGTGGCATGTGCCTTATACGCATCATGATTTTAATAATCTTGGGTATATACATCCGCAGAATGGATTGGCTGGGGTTCAAATGGTATTTCTAGGTCAGATCGCTTGAGGAATCGACCCACACTGTTCTCCACAATGGTTGAACTAGTACAGTTCCACCAAACAGTGTAAAATTTCCTATTTCCCACATCCCTCTGTCCAGCACCTGTTGTTCCTCGATTTTAAATGATCAACCATTCTAACGGTGTGAGATGGTAATCCCATTTGGTTGAATTGCATGTCCTCTGATGGTGAGTGAATGATGCAAAGCCATTTTTAAATGGTTCCTGTGGCTGTAATGAATGGTTCTTCCTTTTGAGAAATGTCTGTCCCATATCCTTTGCCCCTTTTTGAGGGGTTGTGGTGTTTTTTTCTTGTAAAAAAAAAAAAAAATTCATTGAGTTCTTTAAGGTTCCTGGATATTACCCTTTGTCAGATGAGTCAGATTGCAAAAATATTTCCTCCCACTCTGTGTGCCTGTTCCACTCGAACTGGTATTTCT